CTTCATCACAGCGCCGCACCACGGTAAGTGCTGTAGCCGCTCTCCGCCACTCTGCAATTATTTAGAAATGTCTATAATCGACTTTAATTATGTTAAAACGATTATTTTTGTTGATTAAACCACACCTTATTACCGAACAAACTTTTGTTATGTAATCATCATTTCGATTCGAAAATAATATATCAAAACAGTTTCAATCACATTTTTATAACCGCCCGTACAACCACAGTCAACTTTTTCTTGGGTAAACAGTTTAATTTAGAAGATTTTAAATTTATATTAGAAGATGTTAAAATTTTAAATTAGGCTTTGTAACAAAACAGTATTTTGCAATTGAACTGCGATCTTGACTGCGGGAATAATGTAAAATAACATTAATAATTTTATCTCCCCGAGGAGGTCAGATGGTTATGGTCTTTTTTTCCTCTCTGTAGATTAAAGTATGTTTTTATTAAACTTACATATTTTGTTTATACGAACATAAAAATCCGTAGATTTCTGTTATAGCAGTAGTTCTAGCCGGACCACCGCCTTCAACTTTACAAGGCGCACGGGCGCAAGGGCGGGAGCACCCCAATACCAGCTTCTTCCATTTGACCGCATACAACGGAGGTCGACTCGAGTCGTCAACGACCGAGCTCGTACCGATCTGCTAGATCCTCTGGCCTTGCATTTGCCCTCTGCATTTTTTACCGTATTTACCACGGGGAGTGTTTCGAGGAGTTGTTTGGAACGATTCCTGCCGCCGAGTTTCGTCATCGGACGACGCGACAGACCGTCAGGTACCATCCTCACCATGTTGATGGCTGGCATTTCACAACCGTGCGGTTTTCGCGGAACTTCCTGCCCCGCACAGCCGCGTTGTGGAACGGTCTGTCCTCGGCGGTATTTCCAAACCAATACGACTTAGGGTACTTCAAGAAGCGAGCTTACAATTTCCTCAGAGGCCGGAAACGCATCTGTAGTTCCTCTGGTGTTGCGGATGTCCATGGGCGTCGTTGACCGCCTCGGCGTACTCGCTGCTCGTTTGCCCCCTTCTCTTATAAAAAAAACTACTAAGTTAATACGTACTAAGAAAGAAGGTGTAGGTATTTTAGGCTACATTCAAATTTGAGAAAACGAGTAAACGCAAGTTATGAATTTTTAGACTCCACGCAGGCGAAGCCGTGTGCAATAGCTAGCTTTTTATGAATTAGATAAGAAATTTGTCTGAAATATATTTTTTTAAATTTCAGGAAATATAATTTTTCTGTGTTTTATGTGAGTTACGTTCTTTGGAAAGCTAATTTAGTAAAGATGAAGTGAGATTATGTAAAAAAAAAGTCAACTTACTGTTTCACGCCTTTTTTATTTCTATTTTTTATTATTGTCATAGGATTACTAACTATAAGGCTATCTAACTAAAAAAGCTTTTTATTTTCCTTTCTTTTAGTCTACAAGTAATTTTTTGACCGACTTCCCAAAAGAAGGAGGTACTCAATTCGTCTGAATGTTTTTTTTATGTGTGTTACTGCATAACTCCGCCGCTAGTGGACCGATTTTGATAATTCTTTTTTTATCCGAAAGTAATGCTTGCAGGTGGGTCCCATTTTTTTGTTTGATTTTTGGAGTCTAAGACTACGACGTACTTAAACAGTTTAGCTCAAAATCGCGCGACGAAATTTAGGGTCATTTTTGCTTTCTTTGCTTACGTAGCCTAAACTATAATACTAACATAAAAAAGATGTATGGAAGAATTGTAGCTCTTTTAATTTGCTAAATAAAAGTCCGCGATAGCATATATCTATTTATTAAGGTTATCGCACAATATCCACTTTTTTCATTAAAATATCGCTCGAAATCTATACCCCACTTACAACGCTATTACTCGTGTTCGGTATGAATCCTTATCCAAATAAGTGTTCATCATCAAGATAATTTAATGTAGATTATAAATGCCCTTGGAACTATATAATTCCGATCAATAGTTTAGGAGATATCATAAAAAGCAAATTACGAGTCGCAGAAAAATATACCAACTTGTAACAAAGTTTTCTTTCTTGGCTTACGTAGCCTAAACTATAAGAACTACGTAAAAATTATGTGTGAAAGAATTGTAGCTCATTCAATTAGCTAAATTAAAGTCCGCGATAGCATATATCTATCTTTTAAGGTTGTCGCACAATAAGCGTTTGTGTCGCGAAAACGGTCAAATAATTGCAAACGACTTCATTTAAAACGCTTTTATTTGGTATGAATCCTTATCCAAATAAATATGTTTTCACGATAGAGTATTAAATGTAGATCATAATTGCCTTTTACAGTATGCAATTCTGACAAAGATTCTAGAAGTTATCAAAATATTAAAACTCACGGGCAACAGCGGCGCGCGGCTGTACAGAATTATGGGTGAATGATCGCAACGATGTATTAGTTCTTTACTTAATTTCTTCATTCATCATCCACTTGCCCTTATCACTTATGGAGGATTGGCACAGTATGTGCTACTCTTCCATACATCTCTATCAGCCGTCATTTCTGAATCCACTCCTTTCTTAAGTATATCTTCTTTCACACAATCCATCCATACTTTCTTCGGTCTTCCTCTTCCTTTGTAGCCATCCACATTAAATCTCAACACTTTCTGGTTTATTTAATTCGTCGCATAACATGTTCATACCACGCTAACCTTTTGCTTCTCAATTTCTCCACCATTGGCGCTACTTTCAAACTTCCTCTAATGTACACATTCTTAACTTTATCCAATCTTGTCACACCACACACAAGATGGATGCATCTTAACATACGCATCTCAGCCACATGCAATCTCCTTTCATCCGCAACTTTGGTGGCCCAGCATTCAGATCCATACAATACGACAGGTCTTATGATGGACTTGTAGATCTGTCCCTTAAGCCTAATTAATTACTTAGTCTTAAAGCCTTACTTAATTTCTTAGGTAATCGATTTAGATAACCCATTCTTGTTTGAAAGCTTGAAGTGATTATCCTACTGCGATGTTTTGAATCACCAAAAATTGAGAAATAAATAAACTTTTTAATAAAAAAAACAAAACCGACTTCCAGACAAAATACACTAAAAACAATATATTCTCAAAAAAACAGTACACTAAAAAGTAACGAAATAATTCCTTGAAAATAGTAAACCTACCTTATTGTAGCTGTTATGTTTATATTGTTGCGTCTCACTGCAGCACCGGCGGGCTGAAAGGGCCCCTTCGCCCCTCATCCTCGCCGGTGTTGCAGTGAGTCGCAACATATATTGTACAATTATTATTACTTTGAAGTCGGTGTCAGTCAATGTAGATTCATTACTTAATTGTTACTATACTTTCAATTGTCAATTGTTATGGTAAAAATGTGGAAACCCTTACGTAGAAATATCACTGCATATCTTGGCTGACATCGACATCAAAGTAATAATAATTGTAATAATAAAACAATATAGACATAACAGTTACAATAAGGTAGGTTTACTATTTTTAAGGAATTATTTCGTTACTTTTTAGTGTAGTTTTTTTTTGAGTATATTTTGTTTTTAGTGTATTTTGTTTGGAAATCGGTTTTTTTTTTAAGTAACGAATTAATAAAATCCAACAAACAATGTATTTAAGGTTTATTTCGGAAATTTCATAAAATAAATTGTTATAGATTTTCCATGAAAGAAAAGAAAACAATATGAAATGGCCTACGACCATAACTGTAAAGTGCTGTAGACATAACTGTATATAACCATTCCATATGAACTTTGTGATAGTAGTGGTCCATCATATTTTACACCTTACGAAAATAATAATCGTAATATCCACATAAATAGATTCTGGAACATCTCTTCTATTAGACAAATTAATGAAAAGGCACTTAAAATATTAATTAGTAACCAAATGTCAAGACTGAAAAAAAGCTGTCCTCAACAAAAGTGATAAGAAACTAACAACTTTTACTCAGCTTCGCGCCTGTTGCATTAAAATCAACCGTGGCTCTTTAAATGAATATTTTGTATTAGTAATTAATATGTAAAATGTTAGCACATTGGCTAAAGCTTATATTTCAGTAGTTTCCTTTAATTTATTTCCGCGATAGCTCCAAAAATTATGTTTTTGTCTTGAGCGGGCGGTAACTCCCCTCTGGACCGAAACTGTCTAATTCACCCTAGTCCAAATGAAGCAACTTTCGATAGAGGGAAGTAAGGTCAAATCGGCATAATTTCGAGTTCGACAAAAGAATCTGTGGTAGTCTATTATACACGTCTTTCCCGTACGACCCGTATATTTGTTTCCTTTGTTCCCACGTTACTTAATCGAAAATGGTACGAATACACCAGTATGTTCAAGAGAAATAATTGTCACTTTAATTTTGACTACATTTTTTTACACAAAACAAACGATATACATTGAGGTAACCAATCTCCACAAATAGTATGAACCGTCCCTAAAGAAGCATATCGAAATAAATGTGTTGCAGGCTGCGAGATGACGCCGCGCCACGCCTACATGAACCACAGCCTGGACCTCGACCCCGTGCCGCTGCAAGGTGCGTCTCGCCTCACTCGCTCACTCATACACCGTTCGATCATACACCTACTCACCCACCCATTCGCCCTGTCGCTCATTGCACTGCAGCTGCCGGTCCATTCGACCAAAAGTTCATTTGTAAAAGCAAAGCGGTTGTCATTCGTATTTTAATTTGTTTACGCAGAGATATGCATCGGCGGAGCGCGGGGAGGGGAGCGGGGCGAGGCGCGGGGCGCGGCGCGGGGCGCGGCGCGGGGCGAGGCGCGCGGCGGGGCGCGGGGCGCGGCGGGCGGTGGCCTGAGCGCGTCGCGGCTGCGGCTGCTGCACGACACCACCATGATCGACGCCGCGCTCGACCTCGACGAGCCCGACGCGCCCCCCGCGCCCACCGCGCCCGCCGCGCCCGCCGCGCCCGCCGCGCCCGCCGCGCCCCCCGCGCTGCACCTGCCCCGCGTGCACGCCGCGCCGCTCGCAGTGCACGTGCTATGACCTCGCGCCTTACGTCTATTACTAGACTCCCTTGCACAGAAGGACTCCACGCGATTCTACTAATGACTTTTTACGTGTGCCATGCGACGTGCGATGTGCGACGTGTGATGCGCGACGTGCGACGTGCGACGTGCGACGTGCGACGTGCGCTAGGTCGTAAGCTGTAACAAGACGCCTACGGCCTCTGCAAGAACTTTTATCAAAGATGTGACCAGCTTCACAAAACTGTGGATTTTTTAAACGAAATAGTATGTTTTCTGTATTGCGACCTTTGTCGTATATTTGCTCCTAATTATAAAACCGGTGAAAGTGTAATGATTGAAGGTTAACGCGCATTCGTTGGTTGGCGACCCGTCCACTAGCAACACGGCGCACAATGGTTCCAAAATCGTGCTTCATAGAAATAGGGACATGAGAAAACTAAATGTTAATTTTGCATTTTACAACTCCTAATTCTCTTCTGTCCGCTTTTCTGCGTTTAACGGCCAATGAAAAAAAAAATTGTCCCAATAAACTGAGGTCTATCCATTCAACAGCTAGGCAATGTTTAAACATTATAAACATTAAAAGACTTTATTTATTTTCCTTCGGTTCTTGTAAGACACGCACATTTTTCTAAAAATTGACATTTTTGACATACTTATATATCACACTTACATATTACAGCCAATATGTAGCCAAACCTCCTTATCAATCCACAACACACTCCCGGGGGAGGCATACAAAGTTCAAAATCAATAAAATAATTTATAACAAATATCAAACATGTAACGTGCTATAAATATAATAAAGAGCAATCAAAAACGAAAGTCCACTAGGGAACAGCTGGTGCTGAAAACTTCCTTTATATGTAGGTTGTTTCTTTTTCTTCCTTTTATTGAGTTGCTATGAGCATCTTGGATAGGCCCTTGAAGCGTCCAGCCAAGCTTAGTAGGTATTGCTACCAGATTTTTATTTAAACGTATGTTTCCTTCAATAATAATACCTAATTGATCTGAACCCACTAATATACCAATATCTCTGATATCTTCTTCCGCGTCAGTTAAATTGATCTGATGATTCTTCAAACTGTTTATCAAATTTGGGTCATCCACTTGAGGTAAACTTCCACAAAGCACATCTTGTTCCAAAGCTGTCATAGTAGTACTATACTTTTTATCTAAACTACTTACATTAACCTTGAAAACTCTATGTTTCCGCGCTGGCTTCTTCACACCACTAAATAGTGACTGTCTAAGGTTCTCACTACCTGTCACCTGTAGACCAAGGTCTTCTGCCAACTCCTTTTTAATGTAAGTTCTCTGTGAACCAGAATCTAAAAGTACTCTTACTTTTCTTTCTTCTCTACCAGTTGAAACTTTAACTACTAGTGTCTGTAACAAAGTGGTTGTGTTATTGCTAGTAAATTGAGGTGAGTATATGCATTTAAGTCCTCGCCTATATTACGATCAGGACATTTCAAACTACTTAATGCATTGGAGACTAATATTGATCGTTTTCCGACAATCTTCTGATCAAGCGCTCCACCAACAAGTTTTGGGGCTGCATTCTGCAGAACTCCCATAAAGGGTGTCAAGCCTAGCACATCAATGCCAATGTCTTCATTGATGTTATAGTTTGCTGGCATAATTTCTTCAGCATTCTGCAAGACGTGATGATTGTCCCAAATTGCTCCCGGAATTGGGCAATTGTTTCTGAACCTCTCACGTATTTCTACGGGGGTATCGGGATCCGCTAATTCAACAACAGTCTCACGCAGTGTTGACAAAACCACATTTTCAGGTCGCGGTTGAAGGTTGCCATCTACATCTCTTCTGACATTCGCTATCACAGGCAAGTAACTTATGTCGGTGACATCTGTGATAATTCCTACGGCGTCAATCGCCATTTTGATGGCTAATGGGTAGGTATTATACCAAGCGATATCTTCAATGAAGTTCGCACGAACAGTTTGATGGCTGTAGATCGCATCTGGGTTCCTTAAAGTCATTCCTGATTCCTTTCTTAACTTAAGGATTTTGGCCTCAAAGGCAGCTAGAAATACTCTATACATTGAGTAGATGTTTGGAATGACAACGTTTTCCCTGTAATGACGTGCTGCATAAGCAGTAATCATACATCCAAAGCCCATTGCGCGGGTTGTAACTGGTAACATCTGAGGTTTCTGGTTTACATTACCGGTCAGCTTCGCTATCTGATCTGCATCCATGTTAACAAATAATTCTCTTTTGATCTCTTCTTGATTAGCGATAAGCGTTTGCATTCCGGTTTTATACCTATGTTGTTCCATTCTCTTCTTGTTGTACCCTTCGCGGCTTTTGGTTTGCGGTGGTTTTCTACGCCACTGTCGTCCCTCCTGGCTGGCATGTTTAAACATTGTCTAGCTGTTGAATGGATAGACTTCAGTTATATAATTGTTAACAATTATATTTAAATTTTCTTATATCCCGAATCGCCCTGCGCCGTGCGGCGTGCGGCGTGCGGCGTGCGGCGTGCGGCTCCTGGAACGAATGCGCGTTCACCTACATCCTTGTAAATACTTGTTACATACATTGTTGTGTAAAATATAACTTAAAAGATAACAATCAAAGGTGAGACAAGCACTTTATTTATATTCATCAGCCCTAGTTGAAATAAAAATGTTAATTTCTTAATAAGTGTTTTCTTACTTCCACTTTTTTTTTTAACGTGGGGAAATGCGAGTCTGGTCACCACTATTCCTCTCCCTTACCCTCTCCGCAGCCTCCTTTCGCGACATCACCTCTTCGCAGAAGGCAGTACCGGCGCACAGTGTTTCGCGTTGTATGGGGAGGTCGGCCATAATTATTAATTGTTGGCGTCGTTTTTGCCACGCACTAACAGATGGCGCTGTGGCGAGACCGTGTTGTATTAACACACGATGTTGAGAAGAATGTCTCGCCACACATATACTTTCCGGGTCCCCGAGACTCTTTGGTGTTTCGGTAGTAGTTCTCTCCGTTTTCATTGTTGTTGGTGTTTTGTACTTTTCGTTCGTTCGTTTACTTGTTCAATTTTTGAACAAAGTTTTGTAGGATACAAACATTAATGAATATTGTTTGTCTCCTACGTAACCTTGTCCAAAAATTGGACGACTCGACCAAAACGACAAAAGACTTTTACAACGCAACGACAATATTAAACCAACGAACGCAACGACAATGACAACCACCAAATCACCTGCGAACCGCAGGAAGTATATGTGTAGCGAGACATGAGACTAAACATCGCGATACAGTAAAATAATGTCTCGCTACAGCGCCATCTGTTAGGGTGCGGCAGAAACGGCGCAAACAAAAATTTTTTTAACAAATTTGGAGATATTTAATTTTTTTTCATAAAAATATGTGTAAATTAGTCACTGAATTATTTTATTAACAAAAAAACAAAACCGACTTCCAAACAAAATACACTAAAAACAGAATATTCTCAAAAAAACAGTACACTAAAAAGTAACTAAATAATTCCTTGAAAATAGTAAACCTACCTTATTGTAACTGTTATGTCTATATTGTACAATTATTACAATTATTATTACTTTGATGTCGATGTCAGCCAAGGTATGCAGTGATATTTCCACGTAAGGGTTTCCACATTTTTACCATAACAATTGACAATTGAAAGTATAGTAACAATTAAGTAATGAATCTACATTGACTGACACCGAC